GGCTACATTATTTTCAGTTTTTAGTATTTTGTGTCTTAATTTAAAATTACAAAATATACCAAAAGAGTGTAGATTTCAAAAGTTTAATACAAACACAAGAAATAAACTCAATTATTTGGATTCAACTAAAAATAGAAAAATGTGTACTTTAAAAATCAAACACAAAAAACTTTTAAGTATTTATAAACACTTGTCCAAAAATTCTAGTTCAAGGTCAAAGCGCGTGAAATTAAATTCAACGATGCAAATAGGCTATACTGCATTCAAGTTAGGGTCGAAAGTTGAAACTTCTTTCCTAAATTGTATCCTGCTGATACGCTAAGAATAATCTACAGACATATGGACTTAAATATAAGGTTTACAATTGTATGGATAATGCCTGTTTCTGTTTCATTCATCACATGATATCCCTATCATGCGCTCACTCACTCTGGCCGATTCGATACGAACCAAACGAATATTGCTGATATTCACGAATCGGTACGTTATGCCGATGCGCATCACATCGAGCAATATCGTGTATCGGCTGATATCGATATATAGATTTCGTGCGTGGCGATATCGGATTCAACGATATTGCTGCGATATACAGATATTGAATCTATATACGATTTATATCACCCACTCCTAGTCAGTACACGACTGAGCCGTGTTCCTATTCAGTCGACTCTACCGTATGATCTGCAAGTGACAAACTTCGCTACTTCGACAAAGTGGCGCGATAAATAAATCCTCTGGCCACCGCTAATTACTTATTCGACCGCAACGGGGCAACACAAAGCCACTGTCTGTAATAAATCTAATGATATTGGCCTAAAGGTCTAGATACTAGGCCACAAGCTCAAAAAAAATATCTAATGACAGAATTGACAGCTAAGAAATTTGATAACACAAATTAATTGTTAATTTTTAAAGTTAATTTAGACAAACGATTTCTTTTTTTCTTGTGAACCTCTAGAATATATACATATATAATTTGCAATGAAGCTCGAAGAGGCGCAGATGCAAAAGGAGTGGGAAGTTTCTAAGGAATCAGTTGAAGAAGTAATTCGAATAGTAATTTAATCACAACAAAACAAAAAAAACAGACGTTAACACACTTTCATTTTAAGAGATTGTTTATGACTAAAATTGTGGACGACCTCATGGACCATTGTGTTCTATATGGCTGCTGAGACCCATAGATATTACGTTATGATTTTATCCACTTCTATTCAAAACAATTTTTCATAAAAAAATTATTGAATAATGTTACTAATTCTACTAATACTAGTAATCCTTCGCTTTTAGTAAAAATTAAACACAGTCATTTCTTTTTGAAAGTTGGGACAGCTACCACACCATGCAATTGGGACTTCAATCTCTAGTCCGAGGAGGCATTCACGTTGTGATGCCTATGTCCACCAGTAATGGCTCCACACCATGAGGGGTTGAGAATGTTTGCCCAACTAGAAAAAAAAAACGTTATAATGGGGTGTCTAAATTGTGAAAATGTAAATGCTATTAGAATTTATGAAAACCCTAATCTCACAGAACATTAAGAATCAAAATTCAATGTAAAGACTGGTGGTCATTTTGTCCTGCACTGTATGTTCTATTAAAAGTTCTCTCAGTAATTGCTTTTTTTTTAATGCTTAGTTGTGGGGCGAGCTCGCGGCCCGCCTGATGTTAAGTGGTTTCTGAAGCCCATAGACACCTGTGACATAAATGCCACCACTTACCTCGAGGCATAAGTTCTAAGTTTCAGTTTTAATAGTACAACAGCTGCCCTACCCTTCAAACCAAAACGCATTACTGCTTTGCGGTAGAAATACTAACCCGTGTGGACTCCAGATGTCCGTCTTCTTCTTCTTCTTCCAGTGCCTCTTCAATCCTGAAGGTTGGCCGTTAGCTTCCTGTTTTCATTTCTGTCAGCAGCCAGCCGGAGCAGCTGTTCGAAGGAGGCAATACCGGGTCACTCCTGGATATTCCGGAGCCATGACTTTTTTCTTCGCCCAGCACGTCTCTTTCGGTCCACTTTGCCGATCATTATCAACTGCAGCAGCATGTATCTATCGTTCTTGAGCACGTGGCCGAGATATTCTATCTTGCGCTTTTTGATAGAAGGCAACATTTTCCGGGACATATGAACGCGCTGAAGCACGGTTTCGTTCCTGACCCTCTGCGTCCAACTAATGCGTAACATGCGACGGCAGCACCACATCTCGAATGCCTGTAGGCGTCTTGTAGTGTCCTCTTTCAGGGTCCACGATTCGCAACCATACATGATGATAGGCCAGATATAGCACATGAGTAGCCTGACTCGGAGCTTCATATTCAGTTGACGACAGCAAAGAGCTTTCCTCATTTTATTAAAAGAGGCTCGAGCAGTTTCTATCCGGGTCTTGATTTCTTGATCAGATTCCCATGCTTCATTTACCCAAGCCCCTAAATACTTGTACTGTCGTACCCGCTCAGTTGTTCCCCAGCTACAGATACGCTTGAACTCAAATCCGGGTTTCTTGAGACTACCATGAACTTGAAAAAAAAAAAAAAAAAACTTGGTCTTGCTTATGTTTATCGACAACCCGGCTTCCTCGCTGTGCTCATTAACCTTATTCACAATTGCTTGCAAATCTGCTTCCGATGCTGCAATAAGGATAGTATCGTCCGCATAAAGCAAGTTGTTAACGCCCCTGCCGTTGATTCCTATTCCCACTTCAAGGTTTTTAAGAGCTTTTGACATCACAGCCTCTGAGTAGACATTAAAAAGCAACGGGGATAAGACACACCCCTGCCGGACCCCACGACAGATCTCAACTTGGTCGGTTTCCTCATTTGCGACCCTTATCGTAACCACCTGCTTTTCGTACAGGTTGCGGATGATTCTGACGCGTTACCATCCAGACTAATGTCACATAAAAGGCTGAAAAGTTGATGATGTTTAACTCGGTCAAATGCCTTTTCGTAATCTATGAAGCACAAAAAGATATCAGTTTGTATGTCTCTGCATTTCTGTACGAGAAAGTTGAGAGCGAAAAGAGCTTCTCTGGTGCCAACACCAGATGTCCTGCCAACAGTAATTACGCAAATTATAATTTCGCGGGTTTGATTCTTATTACACGATGTTATTCCATCACTGTGAAAGCCAATCGTGAACAATTATTTAGTTCGTATTTCTTTACAAAAATTGGTTCCCGCCTGTGGGATTCGAACACCGATGTATGATACGATTGCACCAGGTGTCTTATCCTATAGGCCACGACGTCTTGAGCAGAGTTTGTACCTATTACCTGGAATTCGTGTGTTTGGTCCATAATGTGGTCATATTTTTTTCTGGCTCTGGAACAAACTCAGCTCCTCTATATTTTTACCATGTCGTGAAAGTCTCTTTTACTGTGTCATCATATATCAAATAAAGTTTGAACAAGATCAGTCTTCAATACATAGTTTAATTTTGCCCTTGGCTGATGTCTATGATGTTTAGACTTCTCAGGAGTCAAAATACAGTCTCATATCAGAATGGATAGAAAACAAGCTCACTCATTACTTGTACCTAAAATGTTTCTATCCTTCCTATTCAATGTTGTATTTATATTAGAGGTGATGAGACTATGTGCTAAACAAATATGCGCATCCTCAGAGAAGAGCGCTAGTTTGCCGTGACCCGTAAGAATACCAACTTGAGAAAGCGCCGCTGATGAGCTCATGAAGAGATGACGTAATGGAGGGTTTGAAGGGTCAGAAGAATAATTGAGTACAGAGATACTCTGTTTATTTTTAACATGTCATTAATCATATAGGTGTGGACTTTTTTATATGATTTTTAATAGTAAATGATGTTTAGGGGTCCAGCGCTTCAGATGAAGCATTAAGTGCACTGTTGGAAGAGGGCGAGGGAGCAGAACAAGATGCAGAAAGACGCGTGCGTCAGTTGGGTTCTCGCCTCGCGCAGCTCGATGCGTTGAACGTGGGAGGCATGCTCGCCGCCGCCACCGAGAGCGGGGGCGCTGGCGCCGCGCTGGCACACCGGCTGGACGGCGGGCTGCGAGCCGGCGCCGCACTCGCACAGCGACTCGCGCGACTCGACCACCTCGCCCGCGCCGCGCCGCACGCCGCCCACGCGCGCTCCGGGGCCGCTCGCGCTGACGCCAACGCTCGTGCTTTGCTCGCCGAACTTGACGCGATCTACTCGTGGCTGGAGCCGCCGGCTTTGCGCGACCTCGACGCGCTGCAAGAACCGACGCTGACCACGGCGGAGGGCAGAGCGGCGACCCTCAAGGCGGCCGCGGCCCTGCGCCACGCCCTCCGCGCCGAGCCCGCTCAGCCGCCGCACCGTCGCCGTCTCGCCGCCGTCAGGGAACGACTGCGCCGTCTCGCGCGAACCAAGGATCAGGTTTCTGTTGCGTTTAGAAGCCTTTCGATTACAACTTACTTATTCTGAAATTTTCGTCCCATTCACCCACTAACATGATTTGCACTTACTAAAAAATTCTACGTATTTTGTGAATGTTCTGTCATCAATGATGACGTAATCAGTTAGTTACTTAGTTGGTAACGTAAGTGTTGTGAGGCAGATGGCGGCGGCGCTGGCGAGACACTTGAACAACGCCCTGATCCACCTCGGCAACGAGGCGGCGCACGACGCGCGCCCGCGCCGCCACCACGCCGAGCTGCTGCCCTACGCACCCTTCATGAAGTGGCTCAAGGACATGGACGAGAAGGCTTACGACGGACTCCTCAAGGTGCGCATCCTTTTGCTTACGGTAAGTGCAAGTGCGCGTCCAGTGCGCGCGTGACGAGCTGGTCGGTCGCAGGTGTACACGAGCACGTGGGCGCGCGTGCTGGAGCGGGAGGTGCGCGCGGCGGGGGAGGCGGCGCGGGGGGCGCTGCTGGCCGCGCCCGACCACGCCGTGGACCACATCCTCGATCAGGTACACGCAATGTCTATAAAACGTGCTCATCAAATTCATGATAAATTGAAATGATTGGCATGAATTAATATTTGCAGGTTTTAAGCCTCGTAGAGTCCCTGTGCAACGCGGAACAAGACTTCTGTACTCAATTCTTTTTCTTGGACGTGGACGTTAAGGTGACGTAGCACAACGCACAGCCCGCCGACATGTCGGGCCGGATCGTACGAATGATCATATTTTAGAATTTTAACGTACAGAGTGAAGGAAGCGATGGCGAAAGAAGCGAGGGCGGGGGCGAAGGCCGGGTGCGGCAGGGGGCAGAGTCTCGGCGACTCATGGCCGAACTGTTCCCCAGCGTCGAGCAGGAACTCGTGGCCCTCGTCGGGCACGTCGAGAGGCACGACGCGTACGGCGCCATGCGCGCGCTGGCCTGCGTGGGGCGGCGCGTGCTGGGTGCGGAGGGCGGCGCGGCGGGCGGGGCGGCGGGCGAGGCGCGCTGGGCGAGGGCCGCCCTGGCCGCCGCCGCCGTGGCCGC